CTGCGTCACAAGACAAGCCCTCACATGGAATTCTCAAGGCCAAAGGAGGAGGGGAAGAGCAAAGAACACATTACGTCGGGAAATGGAGATAGACATGAGAAAAATGAACAAGAATTAGATGGAATTAGAAAAGAAGGCCCAGGATAGTGGGTTGGAGAATGCTCGTCGTCGGCCTATGCTCGATTAGGAGTAACAGGCGTAAGGAAGGAAGTAAGTAAGATTACATTCTAATTATTGATCAAAATGGGTGTACAATCAATCTATAAATGAGTGTATTTTCTACTAGAGTCGTCGTCGTCGTGTTTTGGGGTTAATAAATTATCACTTATACCAGTTTTTGTGTTCTTGCTTTCGCGTCGTGGGAATTGCAAAGGTCCCTCGTTCCGAGTATAAGTGATAAGCGTTTCTGACATAATAATTAGCAACGACTAGATACAAAAAGTAACATTAAAAGAGCCAAGACAATAAGCATTCAAACGACAAATTATAACATACTACACAAATGAAATGAAGTCATTTAACTTGACTGTAGACTTTATCGGACTATTATTACTATTATTATTAATATTAATATTAATGGCTTTATCCAATACTACATTTTTAGAACAATATAAAATTCTCAGAACAAAGCATTTCAAAACGTTTTCTTTTCTTATTTCTTGATCAATATTGACAATAAATATTGAGTGACCGCCAATTAGATGTTAGCAATTCAGGAATCGATATCTGAATAATGTACATTCTTTTCGATGTATATTGCCAGCAACCATAATGACTCTGGTTGTGCTCTTTCAAAACTTGTACAGCGAAAGTTCGTGAACGTTTCACAAGCGAACCTGAATAAGCTATGCAATTAATTGACATAATGATCTGTTGAAAAAAACAAAATATCTAGACGGTGGAAACAGGTAGCCCAGATATCCAAGTAGGTCACCTTAGAGATGATGTAGAAGTGAAGTGAAGAGCAATAGACTCATTGTTTTACCTCAATACATGAATTTTCATCCTAAATTAATCGCTAATTATCATATACATTTAATTAAGTTACAGTATTTTTATGAAAGATATTATATACATAAATTATAGTTTAATTTGCTGTTAGTTAGTCCAGTGATTTCTGTCTTTTAAAATGTATTCATCATTTGAGATTTAGGGATTGTGAAAAAGTCCTGATTAATATTTTAGTAAGTTGACTGATTCACTGAAACAATTTTAGTTGACCTAAACAGAAGAATAATCTCATATTAAATGATTGTTTTTTTACAATACAAACGAGCTTTGTGTTATGGTGATGCATTTCAGTAGTATATTTTTTTGTTCGCAATTTTCCAGACAAATAATTCTCATAGATACAATTTAGGCAAAATAAAGATTACAAACAAATTGTCAAATGAATTGATGCTCATTAAAACTTAATTTTTCAATACGTCGAATTGGAAAACACATGCCTTTCTACGAACTTATGTGTACAGTTCATCCAAGAAGGATACACTTAGTGTATATAAAGACCTTTGTATTGCATATATTTCAAACTGATCAATAATATTGAATAATGGAATTTCAGGCATTGAATAAACAGTGAGTAGTTCGAAATGTCGATACAGCAATAGTCATAGATTCCTTACCACATGGAGAAAAGAAATAAGTTTGACTAAGAAGAAGAATTAGCTACATTATCTGCTAGATAACTAACAAAGTAGGATATAAAGCAATTTTAATTTGAATACTCCATTATGCACAAATTAAAATGGTCAGATTACATCTTAACATTTCACTCGTAGTAGATGAATTGTATAGAAAATAAATTATATACATGAATTATTTATTGCAGTCCGATATTCAAGTTGTTAATGCAGTCAACTTCCTATGATTGAACTTTTGATTTGAGCAGCCAGGTAATATCACTAGCTCAAACATTTAATGTAGATCAGAATAGTAAATGAGTTACATTATATATTTATCTAGATAAAATGAATGTACCTAAAATGTTTGTTGAGAACTTTTGTGGCCTTATATTTACACGTCAGTTAGGTCGGACGATGTTGGCGGCGGATTCACCACTTTAATGGCCCGTGATCTGACTGGATCGTATGATTGATTGTTGTCAAAATATACATCCTGGATATCCTCGCATAAAATTATCGACTTAAATCGCTTTAATGTATCACGGAATTAAATAATTCAAATACGAGAATAAAGTTTGAATGCGTATATTCCACACAATCTTTGATCTGAACAGACAATCAGGGAGACGGAGAGAAGAGAAGAGAGAGAAGGGAAATGACGTGTGTGAGCCAACTTCATTTAATCAAGCGTTAATCGATATTTATAGCAAGAAAAAAATAATTTACAGACATGTGATGAGTAAGATAAGTTCACTCACATAAGCACATATAAAAAGTCAAGGTTGATAAGAAAATAATTAACAAGATCAAAATGTGGCTCAAGAACAATGGATAAATTGGCCTATCCAGAAGCTAGAATAAGTTATATGGGCTTAACAAAGTAACCTACACTACAAACTGTTTGGCTGCAGATTTTAAAAATGAACTTAATTGTGAAACTTTACTCATGATAAAAACCGTACATCTGAGATGATAAGTCAATCCCTTCAAAGAAGTCTCTATATGCTTTACCTTAGCAATCAATAGAATATACGCCAGTTTTTTATAAAATGTATATTAATAAGAACATAAAATAATATTGGTATTTCTGAATGTACACATATCATGAGCAAACCGATTTAGATCATTCACACAACTCAAATTCGAAATCAGTAGTTTTCTATGGCAGTTTTATTTAGTAGGCAGGTAAACTTCGTACAATAAGATGCAACGAGTAAACAATCGGCTGACTTTTGGCAACTTGGTTTTTTAGTGGAACTTACCTGATTTCGAACTAATCAAACAAGCTAACATATTAATCACTGGTATCAGATCTCGTTGGACGATGTCTTTATCATTTCTATTAGAGCAAAATGTTATATCCTAGTGAAGAATAAATTAGAAGTAACTTCCGAGGACTATTAATGGACTAATAGTCTATAAATATTCTTATTGTATAATTATTCAGTAATTATATTATGTATATTCATATTCCCCTTATTATAAGCTTCATTCTGACCTATAATTTGTTATATGATTTACTGTCCCTAAATTATGCTCAGTCTATTAATTACTGTCCCCCTCGTTCACAGCCACTTTTTGGCTTGATTGTGTATAAATATTATTTCCTAGTTTATGGTGCGTTGCGGTCTGTTTGTTTGATATATAAACACAGTATGTTTGAAATATATGATTCGCATACTGGAAACTGGTATTTAGTGTTCTGGACTCAAGTGAACGGGCTAGACGGACATAGGACTAATAAGGACGCTAGACTGCCCATACCAGCCGAACGTCATTGGTTTTGGTACAGTGCGGAGATTTTATAAGTCGTATTTTGATTGGTGGATAAACCACGTGATAAAAGCCGGACATAAAGTCATAACACAAAATGGTGGGACAGGAAATTTAGTACTATAATGGACTATATGTGGGCCGCTTCAGTGACTAAGTAGACGTTTAGTTAGCACGAATAAATTCTACCCGATGTTCTGTTACAGTCTATAAGATTTGGGATAGAAAGTGTTTCGCTAATTTAGTTCAATGAGTTGTAACAGAACCAGATATTTAGTATATGACTGGAAGTTGCATTTTTCTTAGACGGGTTTGTCCTAACATGAAGCAGTCGACTTTGTTTGATAATCCTTTTTACTTTTAATGTTTTCACCCTGATGTCGCATAATTTCTGTCATTTACGACTTACAAGCGAATTCCAACCGACTTTTGTTGCTTCTAATTCATTTGAAGAAATCCGTCAAATAACAGAAGTAGTTTATCAAAGAACAAGTAGAGAGTAGTTTACTAGTATATTTAAATTTCTCATATTTCTTCGTTGTAAACTGGAATGGTAGACAAGACTGTCCTGACTATCCTCATGATTACATAGCATTATGTTGATAAGTTTAACAAAGCTGAAGTTATTATTGATTTTGTCGTTTTATTTTCATTGTAATTAATTACAATTAAATTCTTGTAATGAATATAAATATATGCGGGTTGTTTTGTTTTGATTATGATAAACAGTCAGTATTTCCTAATAATCATATAAAACTTGGAGTATTTAGTTGCACAAATAGCATAATTTCATTAGATATTTACTTGGGAACAATCATTAAGGCGTAATTTTCAAAATGTTTAGTTCTTAAAAATGATCAGTTCTTCAGTAAATCAATCCACCCTTAACGAATTCGAGTGCACATCATTTATTGGTACTGCAAAAGACCCTAATCATATGCAGAGATTGTGGAGATTATTAGATCTTATTGTTTAACTCACGGACTAATTTTAGTTAAGCAACCAACGAAAACAAACAAACACTGGATAGCTGTTTCGTTTTAGCGCGGGACTCCTCAGAAGTGTAAGTCCACGATCCGTTGGGGATCGAACCCAGGAACTTCAAGTTTCGCGGTGTGGAGGCGCACTGTTGAAGAATACGTATACTAGTACCACACAGTTGTCCATTAATTCCTAGTTTTCAATGGTTTTTAGCTAATATCAGTTAGTGGTTCAAACTATAAAATATTTTTATAAAATAGTCATTATAAACCAGTTACGGAATGACAATGATATAATCTTTCCTTTCACTCAACACAAAATTATGAAATCGAATTATAATAAATGAATTTACCATGAACGTGTGAGTATATTGATAATTGTACCACACCTTTGTATGCACATTACATATCGATCTATAATTTTACAATCTCCAAAAAAGAGTTTGAGATTTTCAACTTGACAGAAGACACCAAGTTGTTTCATTTTTAAACTATATACATATCACTTATAAAGTTGATTCCACATGTACTTAAACTCTTTAATATTCAAAAATGAGTATTTATGTTGTATTCATTTGTAATGAAGTTAACTCAAGAAAAAGAAATTTGGTTATTTTTTTTTCAAAAGATATATATTATTTCTTGTGTGCAAACATTAAACAGTTAACAAGAGAAACAGTTATACATAGAAACAAACATAGGAACACAACACTGACTGATATCAATTCAATGTTAATGTTTTATTTAAAAAGCATTTTAAATTAAAACAGAAAAATTTTCCGATAAACAGAATAAAAGAAAAAAAACGAAGAAAAATTTTATAACAAAACAAAAAGCAAATTTATAGGTCAAAGTGAATAATGTAGAATTATATAAACACACCGGTGAGAGGAGAAAATTAGTACTGTAGACAACAGTCACTAACTATATAAAAACTATAAGTGATATATTTATTGGATGAGAAAACAGTGTATAACAAGTAAAAGAAAAAATAGTATAGTTGAGATTCTTAAATAATACATAGATATATTTGTATGTGTTCAAAAGATTTTCTTTAAAAAAATAAACACAGCAGTTAATTATGCAAACACCAGTATACAAGTACATGAATATAAACAAGAATTTCAGTAATTCGATTCACACAGTCATGACTGTATTAGTTGGGACATTTACAAGCATATTATTATTATTATTATTATTATTATTATTATTATTATTATTATTATTATTGGATTCATTTAAATTGATTGAACTAGCAGTATTCGTATTGGTATTAGTTGCTGTACATCGTTCAGCAGAATTAGCATAAATACGATCCCAACCGTATGGATGACGAGAACAACAAAAAGCATAACAATTCCATAAGAAACCCTGAAGGAATAAACATTCAATAGAAGAAATAATAATAATGAATATATTCCAGTTTATCATTACAATTTATATATTTATAAGAATGATTATTGATAAGCATCAAAATAAACACTAGAGTTGTATATTTTATATTGAGATGATTTTAAATCAACATTATATGAAGTAAATATCGACCAATTAGAGTAGTTGACAAAGTATGAAATTAACAATTATTATCAAATTCAACCGATTGCTGAATAAATACATCAATACTTATCGTAAACAACAAATCTGTTGGATTGATGGGTCATAGAGTATCGGCACAAATAAAAAAACAGCTCAGTTGACTTCTGTAAACCTGGGCTAAACAAGATGAAAGCAAGTTGTCTTTTAGGTTATCAAAGGAAGAATATACCACAAAATAGTTTTCTTTTAATAATAATCTATAGTTGTGAAGCATACTTTATAGAGTTCAATGATATGAGTAGACAGTTAGAGTTTATGATCATAGATGTCTTCGGAACATTGCCCATTTATTACAGAACAACCAAGTGATTAATGTTCGGTTTAAGTGTATGACAGTAAGTAGATATGGTAAACTGGTTGAATAAACTTTTAATATTGATATACTGAAGTGGTTGGGATATGTGTTGGATTTGCCGGGCTACTATCTACCCTCTAAACGTCAAAGGATAACCAATAAAGGACTATATTGTAAGAATTCAAAACGTGGCTAGACCAATCTAGGAAGTCATCGACTATTGGTTTAAAGTGTCAAAAGATGCAGACTTCCAGTCTGTGATCCACAAGATAACTTTAATTTATGAACGAAAACCTTCAGCTGGTATCGGTAGGAATCAGTCACAGTAATGCATAAGTTATTCATTCTCTGTATACATATAAATCCTAAATTTCTATGCTACGTAATTTGGTTTCTTTAGAATTATATTAGTTCAGTTTAGGTTACCGTACTTATCTGCCTATCGCCACAGAAGCTATGGAATTACATTAGAAAATACAGTAAACCGGGGAAAACATATTACCAGATACTAGACACCCTTAGGTGGAATACAATCCAAATACGATTTTTCTTTGATATATAATCCTTCAAGTAAAACCTATTTCGATTATCCAATGTTAATTAAACAAACAGTTGACATTTATTTATCTAGTTGTAGCCAATTCGTAAGACACTTTGGATTAACGCTAAACGGGTAGTATGAATAGTGGAAAAAATTTTTGGTACAAAAGACAACTACATGCTACATGGTGAGCGAGGTGAAAACTTTACAAAACTTCATCGCCATAACTCAACTGGCAGACCAGTAGATCAAAAACTTGGGGTTTGATAGTTCAAATCCAAAAGGGATTAACTTAATACTCCATTCATCAACCATACGTAAAATATGTAACACAACTTATACAACTATTCTTGATAAACAATTCGAAACTCTAAAATTCATGTCGACTTTTCGTCAAAATAATTATGACACATAATATCATAAATATCTCCACAACAAAACATAAAATGGTACGTAACTTGAAATAATATCTTACTTGGTTGAAAGGATTTTCATCAGATTTTAAACTTTGTAAATAAGTAATACGATCATGCGCTACTGTTTCCCATGTTGTTTTATTGACTAAAGCTAAATAGATATGAAATCCAAGTATTACAGTAACCGGTACTCCACAAATAATAAGCATTATTATAAAAAATAAGAACATACTGTTGTTCTTGAACCAAATATTCCATTTTGATGCTTCAACCAATGAATACCTGAAATGGGCATAAATTTATTGAATTTAGAAAATGACATAGTTAGATGAAAGTGTTTACAACACGGATTGTTTTTTTCATAAATTGAATATGCCCACAGTAAATAGATTAAATAGCTTCCAAAACATGAACTTATTTGATACAACAAAGGAGAAATATTAAAATGAACCAGTTTTCAAGTTGGAAATTTCATAACAGAATAACGAGTGGCCATCGAAACAAATGGTATATACGTAAATATAGGCAATCACTAGTAAGTAATATTATTTGAAAGCATATGTACACCTTCATTGTTTATAATTAACTGCTATGATTTGAATTGTTAAAAAAAACTAGTAACTATGATAGAATTTCATGAAAACTTTTTGACTGAATAAGATTTACATCTTACAGTGAACATCTTGTAAATACTAAGTACGTACGTATGAAGTTCTACGTTGTTACTGACTGACTGACTGACCAAACAACCACAAATAGCGTCCAATGCTCCATTGATAAGTGCATTAATAAATAAGGAAGAAATATCAAAACTTGCCATCAATTCATCCTTTACCATGTGGATGGTATCAATATTATTCTCGAATTCAATAATATTTAACTCCACGATTATTCAAATTTTCATATGATTTAAATATCATAGCTCAGTATTTCGTTGGTTTGTATGTAGGTGAATTTGTTAAATAAGCTACTGGTCTTAGCAGAGTATTATTCTTGCGACCTTTCATAGTCCACAGAATCTACAATAGTTATAACTTCTGGGTATAATGTGAACCGCAATGACGATCCTAGTTTTATTTTAATCGACTGTTCAATTTTGCTTGCTTCAGCGTTAGGTTTATTAAGAATAGTTCATCGTTTCGTCTCTTTAATTAATTGATACAAGACATCTAGATGTTCTCTGGTCCTGTTCTCATAGACTGATCTGTTCATAATGACAGTCGTGTTCCTTTTATCTGCCCTCGTAATGATAATTGTCTTATCACTTCTTAACTGTTTTATTGCATTTAATTCATCTTTGGTTAGATTAGAAACATGTGGTTTTGATGTAAATCAGTGGCCGTAATTTAATTCTTCAAGTCATTCGCTGTTTCATTAGAAATGCAATGCAATACCGATTTAATTGCAGGTATAACATTGAGTGGTGATAATTGTGGTCTATTTATAATGAAAATAAAACTCTTTTTAAGCAAAGACCTCTCGTGAGTACATAGATTTCTATCTGATAAATTAACGACCAATGTGTTCAAATTCAATGTGTTAGATTCATCTCCAGTCTGTTGAACTTTGTGGTTTGTGAATGTTTCAGCAAGTTTTCCAAACTTTCTAATCTACCGCTGTTTTGACGATTGATAAAAACACTGTTCTCGGTGTTTAGGGAATTCATTTACATTTAATCCTCTTTCCTCCGGTGTGATAACGGATAACACATCGTCAATGTTGCTAACGCAGTAACTAAATTCATAGTGACTTTATGCACACGATTTCTAACAAATTTTCTAGATGTGACATTCGCTATGACGAACAGATTTATTGGAATAATTGATTAATAGAGATTTAGGACAAACATTTCAATTCAAACATCGTAGATTGAAAATCCTGTGATTTTATAAGTTGAGTATTACCTTTCATAATTTAATTCGATCGCAAAGTAATTTATACGAATACTTGTCAATAGTTGAACGGACAGATTAACAGAAATTAGGCACAGAGTATAGAAAAGACATTACTTCTGAAAATTATATTTCAAATAATTTCAGCAACTGAAATTGAAATAATTATAAAGCTCCATCCATCAAACTTGTCCAGACTTCTTCAGAGTAATCATCAAGGTCAAGATCATCAGAGAATATACAATAACAATAATAATAAGCACAGGTCGCTGGTGGCTGGCAGTGGAATCCAAGACGCAAGTTTCGTCTTATTTGAGACTCGTCAGCTGGATTTACCTGCATCCGAGTTTATGTCTACTTCAGGAATTGAACTCAGTGCCGTTCGTTCTAAACCCCACTGTGTTATCCACTTAGTTGCTGGGCCCCGGAACGGATACCAACTCTGGGATGCAGGTAAATCCAGCTGACGAGCCCAAAATAAGACGAAACGTGAGTCCTAGATTCCACTGCTAGGCACCATCCATCTCTGCTTATAATGCTTGAGATTTAATGGTGATCTCAAGGCGATTCGCACACGATGTACATATGCCAAGAAAGAGACTGATCGATCCCGGTTCAAAACATCAATGAGAAAATTCAAACAACCAATACATGTAATAACAATATTAATTCTAAATAACTTACCAACAATAATATAAACACCACCAAATTGAAATAGTTTGACAGAATAAAAATACAACAAACGCAGAATGATTTCGTTCCCCAATACAATTCCCAACCCATGGACAATGATGATCAAACTTCAATACACAGCGATTACAATCTGGACAATGACGACAACGCAATGGTTGCTATAATGTTCAAATTTCAATATTAAAATAAACACATAGTGCTTAATAAACAGAAAATCACTAATTTTAAAATGACTAATATACAGTACTAACTTGAATAAGTTTATCCGTTGAATAAGATTGTGAGATTAATGATCGGAATAAAATTATGCAACTGAAATCCATATTACATATTTTGATAGAAAACTACATAGTGTATGAATTGACATGAATTCACTAGGTATACAAAATCAACTAGTTTTCAAATAATAAATGAAATGTAATATTGTGTATTTCAACCATAAATAAACAAAAATACAATATGAAAACGATGGTGGTTTGAAATTGATCGATTCATGATTCCAATGAAATTCAATAATCTCTACAAACCAAAACTGAAAATTATTTTGTGCTCACTGGTGACTAGTTTCGAGGAATTCTCGAAGTTCTAATGAGAAATCACGACTAGCGGAGTTCGACTGTGTTGAGTGTGAAACATCGAAGATTGGTCGGCATTAACGCCGTTAGATGTCGGCTCAGTGGTCTTGAGGTTAAGCGTTCGCGCACGAGACCGAAAGTCTTTAATTCCAGTCCTACTAATACAATCGTAGATGCGCACTGCTGAAAAGCCCCATACTAAGATGAAACGGGAGTCCAGCGATCCCAAGTTTTAAATGGTAGTCTAACGTTCACCGACTCATTATTTCAATGAGAAAAACTGATGATTAGAGGAGTTTCGAGACTTTTTTCTGTAACTAAGCATTTAGTTCCATGTTTTATGCATTAGAATAAATGACAGGCAAATTGTTTTTTCTCATTACGTAAAAACAATCATAAAACTCATAGATTGGCATATAACAATGTAGTAAGTAATTGAGCATAACAATGTAAATCGGTTTTAAAAAATACAGAACACTTATTAACAATATAAAGAGATCAAACAGTATTAACAAAAGAAAGTAAGATTTCAAAATGAAATAAAATGAAAAATAGGCAGAAAATTGATGTGAAATTTAGAAAGAAATTAAAGTTGTATATAACTGTGGAAACATGTGACGTTTTAAGCCACATTTTTTACTGTGTACAATTTCTGAATTCATTTAAGTAACTGTATACTTGAGTATAACGATCGAACCAATATTAAGAAAATTTACAGATTTGTATAGTGACATTTAGTCATCTTGGAAACTTACCTTTCTTTAATCAACGATATATTTTTAATGGAATATAGTAAGATATTCAAATAGGTGACTTTATTTAAACTGATGATTACATGGTAAAAAGCAGTTTAAGTAATAGATACAACTAGATAGATGTTATTTCACTAGTCTGAATATTTTACAGAAGATAAGTGTATTATTGCGAGAAAAAGAAAAGCTAGTCTATTTTAAGAAATGAAAGATTTGTGAATATCATTTACTAAAAGCTAATGTAAAAGTTGATGATTTAATCGTTTAAGTAAATTTCTATCAAAGAGAATTAAATCATCCTTAGCCCAATTCATGTCTTCACTGATTTAGAGACATTTGAAACTTCCGCATCTACTCCACATACGATTCAACTGAAAATCCACATTTCAAAAATATGTCTTTAAAAAACCAATTGTGTCTTATCAAAGAATCTTAACGGAATATGATCTGTAACTTAGTAGAACAAGAATTCGACACTGACAAAAATTCAATAACTAAACAATGAAAAACTTTCAAGACAAAATCAACCAATAGTCTTTAAAAAAAACTGATTGGATTTTCGCGATATTCATTGATTTTAACAGAAACTACCAAATGACAAGTCTGAAGCATACAATGGATTAATATTAGAAATTCATTTTTCCTGCATGAGAAAATATAAGACGATTTTAAAACAAAACAAAAAAATCTCCCATTTTTATATATCAAAAGTATGAATCTAATAATTCTGAAGATGTCACTAATGTTGCGAATAGTCAAATACTGTTAAAAAAACTGTCTGTATCACTAGCTATAATCTAACTATTACGGTATTAATTTAACTTTTATCGTTGCTAAAACTCGTCATAACAACATGTTCCCTCTCTTCCTTTTTCGTCAAATTACAATTAAAGATTATAATAATCTGTAGAAAGGCATATATTGTGCTATTTTTCCCCTTCAATTTGTCTAACTTTTAAGAAAATTGAAAAAGCTCTAAGTAAAATAATTGATTCACCTAATTAAATCATGTCTAATGAGTCAATCAAATCATCTAATTAAAGTTTAAGTTTTTGATTGGGATCATGAACCGATTGATGTTAGACCACGATTAAAAACCTGGAAGCATTGGATGGCCGTTTCGTCCTATTGTGGGACTCCTCAGCAGTGCTCATCCACGATCCCGCTCGCGAATGGTCTAACATCAATCGGTTCATGATTTCAATAAAAAAACTTAACAATCTCCACAACCCCTAAACTGACAAAATTTAAGTGTTTATTTTCTAATAACTGGGGTCTAAGTAAGTTGGTTATCTATGATCATTATTTAAGGTATCATTGAGATAATATCAGTTGTACTTTATCCCGATCGAAGTAAGTATAAGTAGCAGATAATAAAATATTTATTGCAATGAGTTGTTATTCTAAGAATTATTTTTCTATAAGACTACTTTTTCACCTAAATCAATAAATGAACGCCAACTTGTAACAACATTAATCATATATACACAGTGTCACTGTTAATCTAGAAATAAAACAAACAAAATGAAGTACTCTAGATAAATTCACGCCCCCCCCCCCTTAGTCAATACAAATATGAAAATGAACAAAGATAATACAACATTCGGTATATATATATATATATATATATATATATATATATATATATTACTTATGCATGCCATCTCCTCAGATCATGATAATAATAATAAATATAATAATAGTAATAAATTAGGAGTCAATAGGATCGAAGTACTTTCACTGAGAGCAATTCATGTGATATGTTGAAAAAAGAAGCACTATAATGTACTAAGAAACATATATTGGGTGTATATATCTATATGAATTTGACAAGTTGGTAGATATTGAGAATAAAAAGGCTTATACACTATAAAATTAAAAAACACTATTGATACTATAATTGTTAAATTATAAAATTAGTCAATAGAATGCTAATGATTGATTTGGAGTTGATTCTATCGTGAGACTGATATCAACTGGTTGGAAAAACTATTGAAAACTAAGAAGTACAAGGATAGTTGCCTTGACCAATACAACATTAAAAATACATGAAGGCTATCTACTAGTCGGAAGCTTAATTTTAGGGTTTTCTGTGGACTACTTCCAACTGGGTAGCATATTCTATGTTTGCTGGCTTTTAATGGGTTTTCAAATTTCGCCAATTAATAATGCCCAAAAGACCATCTAGGTTAATCATAAATCATAATAAAGAATTCTGGTGACTTTATATACCTCGTATATTGTCATTAAAAGATAGTTAGAATCCTCTTTCTTTTATCATGATATAGTTGAATATAGCTCAGTTGAACTTAAGACATCTTGATAGAATGAGGTTTGTAACTTAGTACAAAATCGACACCACATCTTATCAAAACATTGATAGCTAAACGATAAACTTTTTATGAAGAAATCTGAAGACGACTGTTTTAGGAAATTCGCTTGAACTTGTATGTCAATTCTAATTACTTCATGACAACATTTGTTATATGTTACTGTTCGAATACAAAACGGATATCGAATTGACAATGAGTGAATAACATGAATACAACCTCCACAAACTGCTTACACTTACTAGAATACATATATCATTGTGTTAATTAAAGAATATCTTTCAGAATATTGTAGAGATATACGGTTTCTAGTCTGTAGATGTTGTATACATGAAATCAAACACTGTATATATAACAAAGTGGGGGTTTAGTTAGAAAGAAATTTCGATACTGAGTAAATTTAACATAATCAAATTGATACATGAATTAACTGCAATTTTCAGTCTAACAGGAGTTAAATCTTTTATCTTTCTATTTGGAATTCATTCAGATAGAAAATATCTACGGTTGGATGTACTCAAAGCTTTCATTTTAAAAAATCTTTAGAACTTGAAGATATTCACAAACTGTTTAACTTAATTCTACTATTATGACAAATTCAGTTCAGTTTCCTTTGTTTTTCGTATTGTCACGCAAGAGTTAAATAAGTTGGATTGGAAATATAGACCATAGTATGCTGGATCATTGACTTAAAGGTTTTGTTCACGAGCGAGACAGGTTTGAAGTTTGATCCCCGATAGGATCTAAGATCCCCAAGGCTGGGTCCCAAACCAAAACAGGATAGCTATGTAGCACTTCCTCGCTATCAATGATGGTCTAGTCAAGATCACTTCGTGATTTAAACTATGCTAACTTGGTTCACTTCTTTATACTTCAGTTCACGAATGTTTTAAAAATGAACTGTCATCTAGGTATTATTAAGAATTTATAACTTCCCCTTGTTAACATAAAGGATTGTCGCTGATCAGACTCTATTGATATATATATATATATATATATATATATATATATATATATATATATATATATATATATATATATATATATATATAGTTACAAGTTTTTAATAAAACTGAGTACAAATTAGAAGTAGAACCCAAGATGCGCATTTCATCATATTTTGGACTCGTGAGCTGGAGTTAATTGCATCTAAAAGATAATAGGTTGGAATCTCATTGAGGGATCATCAACACTGAGATCCAGGTACATTCAGTTGATAATTCCCAAATAGATCAAAATGGGCATTCTGCATTCCACTCATTGTCACTACCTAACTTCAATCACCTAAGTAGACAAGTAACTAATAAAAGTGAAGAAACCTATTCTATAATGAACAATGCATCAACCGACAGTAGAATATGATTAAATATGAAGAACAAACAATGCAACATGACAATCATTTCTCATGTGGATTAAATCCTATATTAATAGAAATAGTCTTACCTCTAGAAGACAATGATTACAGAATCTTACAGGAATAGATAAATTAACCAGAACTTCACAATCTGCATTCATTTTAGAGCATAAATTATTTGGCCAATCCTTTTTCAAATTCATAGAGAATTTATTTGGTTTTGTTTGAACAGTGTTATTTTCTTCGATTGTACATTGAGTTTCAGAGCGATCACGTTGACGTTGAAAGCATGATTCTAACTGTGAATGATTCTGATCTAGTGTCAATTTCTTATAATTTATATCGGTATCATATTCATTAACATACATAGGTCTTTCATCGCCAGAATCACTAGCTAACGAGATATGACCACGTCGATGTCGAAACCATCTAGCCTTTGAAGAGACAAAACGAATCAACATAAAAATAATCGAAACAAAAGATAAACAGCACATGATTATACTTCCATGTGTACACAAGACATGCATACAGAAATGATACAGAACTCCAAAAAAACATTTAGAAAATCGGACTAATTTCTAACGATTTCAGAATACAATGACATGGAGGTAATAAAAAAAGGAATAAATTCGATTTTGTTGAACTGAGCATTCTTAAAGTGCACTCTAATTTATGCGCAGTACAGTAAAATACAGCAAACATCAAAATCTTGAAAGACCACATCAAACTTCACTGAAGCACAGAATATATCTGTCATTTAGCACCACATTAACCGGGTATTTAGTATTAAGTGTATTATATGTATGAGTGGTTTGTGGTAATTTATCAATTTGTAGTTTATCAACATAAACGGACTTTAACTATGCAATAAGTATAGTTGAATCAGTACGAAATATATCATAAATAATCAGGTCTAATAAAGAAGTTATTCAATGTAATAATTATAGGAATAAGTATGTAGCCATAATTCTCTTAATTATAGATAATCTGGAACAAACTATAAATCGATAACATCTAGTAGAAATTCGAAAAAAAAGTGAAAAATAACCACAATTTCCAAATTATCTTCCCTTATTGTTACCTTTTCAGCAGTCAGATAGCCTGGATCAATGCAACTTGTCAAACCATAAGTAATAAGCGAAATACCGAGAAAGGTAAAAAAGCATATAAAATGAATGACATCCTGTTCTATGAAAACAACTCGATGTAGTTCTGAAAAATGAATAACATAAAGAATAATAATATAATTCATAAAAATTAATAAATGATTAATTTACTAGAATTATGAATATTTTATTTTTAAAAATAAACTTGCTAAACAATAGATATTCTTAAAGAGGAAGAATGTATGTAGAAAGTTTTAGCGAATGAATTTGAAGTAAATTCAACGTTTCGCCTAGCAATCTGGTTCAAGCTTTTTTCAAGGAAATATAATCAAACATCAAAATTATCGAATAAGATATGTCATACATCAACTCGGAGCCCAAATATTGTGAAATGATTCGATCAAATTTAGACGAAAGTTCTTATTTAATAAATATTCTTATAAAATCTACAACAATTTATATTAGACTATAATCTTAGTTGACATGATAACACATTTTCAAGATAAATACAAATGAAAGAAATAAGAAATGTGACCAAAAAATGACCTACTTCAACTTAATGAAATATGAACAATTGGAAAATGCATTCTTTATCTAAAACAACTGAATATTATTCAAAAACAAATTAACAACAAAAACTCATGGACTGGGGTAAAGATGGAGTTATGATTGAACTGTTAATTTTGCAAAAGCTAGATGTAAGTAGATCAAGATATAACATAAATAAATAAATACTTGTCTAGACAATATGATTCTATACATCCTTATGAAAGATCAAGTAACCGCATTAACTCAGTAACTCTATTCTTAATGTTATGATTTTCTGTCTATGACACTATAGCTAATTAATACTGAAGAATTCAACTATTGAAAAATGATAATAACTTATAGGTATACTGTACACAGAAAGATTTTACTGTCATTTACAAAGTAAATGAAGCGAAGCCAGTAGGTCCTGGGTTCGAGCCCCGCGTGGTGCGGGATCGTGGATGTGCACTGCTGAGGAGTCCCATACCAGGACGAAACGGCCGTCCAGTGCTTCCAGGTTTTCAATGGTGGTCTAGCTTCAACTGATTCATGATTTCAACCTGTACAAAGTAATCATTAGCTTCTAGTTTAATAAACAATGACTATGTTAAATGAAGTTGAATTTAATTTATTCTCTAGTGAACTCCAACAACATAAAACATGACGGTTTTAAACTGTAATTGTTTAAAGCAATCTAATCCAGATGATGGAACAAATGGACAAGCAAAATAATTGTACCATCTTTAATTTAAAATCGAAATCAGTACACTTATAATTGAACCACATAAATAGTAACAGATATAAATATGTTTTGTGTAACTCACCGGATTCACATAATAATAAAGGCAATAATACACCTAGACAAATGGTAATATGAAGAAAAGGAATGAAATAACGTCGATGAATTCTTGCATATTGATATAATTGATAGCACATTATCGTCTACTTATGAAAAACATCATCATGTCACTACTTAATTGAAATATCTGAAAACACAAAATAATAAAAAGAAATAAGGACAGATCTTATGGACTAATATTTTTTTATGAAACTTCTTAATATACTTGAAACAAAACGAGACCAGAGTAAAAGGAATTTTGACTGAGTGTTTGTTTTTAAATACATTCATCAAAGACAACAACAATTCTGTGAACGTGTAGTTTGAAGTTATTTCCACTGTACATGTTTGAAACAGTCATAATTTAACAGAAATAGGCTAGATTATCAAGTTAACAAAGGGAGGAATTTTAAACACATACTGCTATTTGTGTAAGTATTTATACTGTCAGAATTCGATTGATCAAATTACACAAGCCATCTATGTGAATTTAGAACTTAACATGCCTAACAATGTCATAATATTACACGCTAATAAGACCGAAGATAATAAAAGGATATGTTGAGTGTTAAATAAAGAATAAGCTGAGAAACTATGCTGGATATGGAATTTAGAACTCGACTAACCTGACCAACTTCGCTGTCCAAGTACTTCCACTTCAATTACCGAAACATTCTACAACAGAAAACTTCGACACTATCGTAAAGTGAACTTCCATATTAACTCCTGTAATAAAAAAATCAGCTTAATTCGTTGGATAACTTTATAAATGCTTTATCTTCCATTGTTTAAACAAAATAACTACATAACTAATAAATTTGACTACTAAAGTAGCCGTAGTTCTCTTTTTTGGGTTCACCAGTGGTAGAATTTTTCCAATATCTACAGCAGGTAGTGAATTCTTGTTGCAAGCACTAGATGTCGACACGTCAACAAAACGTATTTGTAACCTTGAGAAAGTGGATACCTACTTCAGAGACTCGAATGCCCACTACTTAATGCTGCTATTCGACTTTGAGCTCTACAATCTACAATTAAATGCTTACAGAAATGAAACGTTAACGCTAATCAATCCCCGAATAGTGGCCAGTGTCATTTTGTCTAGTCCTTAGTGGTGACCGATATCTATCGATAGTATATAGCTAAAAATTTAAAGCACAACAATTTGACACTTTATGCAATAACCTGGGAATAATGCGAATTCTGTAATTTTTTGATTGAGATCTTGAACCAATTGATGTTAGACCATCACAATTGAAAACCTGGAAGCACTGGACGGCCGTTTCGTCCTATTGTGGGACTCCTCAGCAGTGCGCATCCACGATCCCGCGAGCGGGATTCGAACCCAGGGCCTTCGGTCTCGCGCGCGAACGCTTAACCAACTGGACCACTGAGCCGGCATCCAATGGTGATAGTTTCTAACTTAATAATCTCCACAACCCCTATACTAGTAATTCTGTAATTCATTGAAAACAACTAAATCCGTAAAAAAAATGCGTTAAAATTGTAGAATCAGTAGCCAAGTCTCTAATTAATAAATTACCAAATAAACTGATAATCAAACTATTTATACACTTAATTGGAAATACCTACACTTTTGCGGAAGTTCTATGGCAAGATATCACGACCTAGTAAGTAGGCTTCTAAGCGTTAAAAATTTGCTAGTGAAGACAACCCACTACTAAACAGACAAACCGGGTGACTCTTATTCTTTGGAGCAAAATAACTAAGAGATCAAAATGATTGTTTGTAGCCGCCTCAAATCAATACTACAACGCTAATCATGAGCAAGTTTAAACTGAATTTGTAGTAACCATATCCTGCCTCCAGGTCATTAACTTTTAAATGAAAAATGAAAATAATATAAATCCAATCCTGCGAGAGTTGAGCAATCTGATAAGCTTAAACTAAAATAGACAGGTTGATCTCATTATTTTCTGGAATGAAAAATACTTTTGTATCACAATTAATGGATACTCAATTTCAAGTTTTTTTTGACATTCAGAGGTCTTGATTAATTAGGGAGCCGATATCACCAATGAACTCAGAACATTTGAATTGAAAAAAAGAATTTTCTGACACAACCTCTGTTACCTATTTATTTAATATTAATAAAACGATAAAGCTAGGGAATGAACAAATTGCACATTTGTAACCCTTTGAATATAAGATTGATCAGACTTGTAAGATGATCCAGCTAACCAATACTTATAAGTTAACTTATTTAGCCCGAGATGTCACCGTAATATTTATTCAACGGGTATATGTGGTATGTGGCCAGATTCAATTATACATAATTCCCACGGTAAATCAAACCTTACAACGGCATCCCAACTTACTAACAACCAACTGATCAAAATTATGTAAACAACGACTTTGTAAATTCAATTAGGACTGTCCAACAATTTACCTTAAATTTAACGTTTTTAATTAATGTATAAAATGAGATTTTGCAAAACTACAAAATTCACTTTATATCCCATTTCAAGACTACGAGAATTTCTTATGTCATAGATAATTAGATAAGAAAAATCTAACACTTTATTTACATGTATCTTGTAATAAATCTCCTTTTCTTTTAATGGAGAAATAACTTCAAACTTTTTCTCTTGTTATCAAATCCAAAAATAGCATTCCTTTCATGTTGACATGAAGACATAGTGACAGATGAGTGTTCATACATACTTGTTACTGTAGCACAACCAGATTAGAAATCACATCATATGATGAATATTGTACATCACAGTAGAATATCCATTAGTTGTAACTACTGTGTTGATTAAGTCAAAAATATAGATGTTATAACAGGTCAAATGGCTGACTACATAGTATACACTACAAAAATGGCTAATATATGGGCTGTGTGATGAATGATAGTTTAGGTAGACATCCAATAAACTGGGAAGACAACCAACGATAAATAATCACTTACGTTATATAAGAAAAAAGTCCAGAAAAACTTAAAAATAAATCATCAACAAAATTCACATCAAATCCAATACAAACATTATCAATTGGCAATCATTCCAAAAGAAAGAATATTAATCTTGAACAGACAAACACAATGCAACAGAGAAATTTAAAAAGAGAAACTACAAATGAAATATTTTTATTTCATTGTTTTCCTTTGGATCTATCTCCTTCATCTATTATCTTGCGCAAAACACTAAACAGTGAAACGAGTATCTATCTTCCAAAAAAAATAACATGTAACAACTACTCAATAGTCTATGGTGCGTACACACGCACATATTTATAAACAAACAATTCAAATATAATTCATATTGAAAATAAAAAGCCAGTAGATTAAATAGGATCAGTTTATCACTCGAAAATAATGTAAATAAACAACTTTAAAACTGATAATAACAATGATATTAACAATTAAACAGAAAAATCGTACACTCTTTTTTGTCCAAAGATTTTGTTTGTTAACCAAGCAAACACAAAGAATTTTATTTTGTACAAGAAAATGACACAATATTTAGTTAAGGATGTGTAAGTTTGTGTGTATGTATTTATAGACGACTTTCAGTTGAGAAATTTGCCTAGTAAAGTGGAAAATATGAATATGAATCAAGGTAAACCAAATAGTAATCCATGTAGCTGTGCTAAGCCAATCCCAATAAAAACAGAAGTGACGCGATTTTTTATCTACGTACGTACACAGGTACACGCACACACACACAGTCATGCTAAGAAAATATGAAGTATACTCATTTGTATATATTATTTGAGAAAAAATCACCAGTGTAGTTTTTTACACACAGACCGGACAATAAATTTACCTTTTACAACACACTGCATTTTTGTCATTATGCCCAACTTCTACTTTTAAAAAGAGGAGAGGGGTAAAAAAAATTTACAAAATAAAAATTAATAACAATCAGGAAACCAGTTAAGCTCACAGCACATATTGAACAAAATAAACTTGTGAGCATTTTGACTTATTCGTGTGTGTGTGACATATGAAAAGCGAAAGAGAAAAATAATTTTGGAGAATTCCGTCTGTTCAACTCTTTATCAAATACACAAATAATTGAATAATAATTAGAAATAAATACAGAAATGATGGGTTGGATTGTTGGACATATCAAAATAAACGAAGTTACACATGTTATTAGATATAGAGTAAATTATTGGAAAATGGATGATAATTTTGTTTATATTTGTAGAATAAAATAATAATATTAGTAATAATGTGGTTTGGTTGACGATCACATTTCCTTCGGCAATGGTGGAGGTATGAAATCTTTTGATTGGTATGATTGTGTAACGAAGTAATACGCTAATAGAATAGCTATAATCAAAACAATTATGCTGATAACCAGTATGATAGGATTGTACAGTGTGACTGAAAAAAAATTACAGAAATACGAAACTCGTAACTGACTATGATGATAACAGAGGTAAAAGAAAAAATGTTTATCAGTGCATCATAAAAAATTTCATATATATAGTACAATCATGTTAGATCAATCATACTAGACTCCACTAACCAGCCTGCCAGTTAGTTAAATCATTCCAGTGGTGGAATGCCCTCTAATCAGATATTTAACGTTCAATAGATGATAAAACAGTACTACAATTGAAAGTATCTATTGTTAGACAAGTTCTTGTATATATGAGTGGCATTCTATGCAAAGCAAGTCTTATTAATTAAAGCCCTTGACTTTCACAACTAACATGTTGCAAGTTTCAACCATAAGCCAACGACTTCAATTTACATAACAGGATAGTATTTCATTAGTCTTCTAACATAAATCTTCACATAGCATATAATAAATTTGACATAAATAGACAAATACTTTCCTATGGCGAAGCATAGAATTTTACGCATAGCGACAAAATCGACTTACATGGACTAGAAACAGGAACAGATTCAACCACTTCATCTATCAATTCAGACTCAGAAAATTCATCATCAGCACTAACTGTGTATGTATGGATGGAAGAAACAAAAAGAGAGTAACAGAAATTGCATAACAATTAAAGGGTTTTAATACTTATGAGTTGTAAAAAGAGATTTATTCATGCTTGTAAAAGTACCACATAGTATGAAAAAAGGATAAAGCTAACAACATGTATTATCTACTTCGTTACTGATAGGTGATTTACTTTAAGCGATTCAGTGATGAAACCGTTAAAACAAACAATGCAATAAATTATACGACAGACAACTTTATTTACTAGAAGACTTTGTTTGTGTAAGCATAATTCAATAGTGACAATTATGTCGCCATTCAGATACTTAATAGGATGTTATTTTGACCCGTACCTGCATAGTTTATAATTGACTTTTCTTTGGTCATATTAACTTGATACTATTTAGGAGTCCAAACACAAAAGAGAGGTCAGAAGCGGGATTAGAGGAAGTTGTACAATCTTGCCATTCCCTCACTAGTTTTGTTATCGATGACATTCTGGGAACAACTTTGAATGAAGTACGTAGTGGTGCGGATCTGTTTATTGCGAAAATGAGTAGACGTATGACATTGGTTTATTGTGAGATGATAAGCAACCAATCAGTTGGTAATCAGTGTCCGTAAATATGCCATGGTATTCTTACCTTATAAATCCAAAGTATTTTAATAAGACGAGCAGAAGCCTGTACCCGAAATCGTTTTGTAACGATCGTCCAGAAGTAGTGGAAACGTTCGTCAGTCAGCTACAACGTAGGACCAGGCATATATATGCATCGGTTCAAGTCGTCATACTTCATTAGCACAGCAAGATGAACACAGGATTCAGAGTAGTTAATCCAGTGGTGGTAATGTATAAAAGAAATATTGTATATAAGGATGTAGTACAGGAACGTTCGTACATCTAAGTATTTGTGTGAGTGTTGGTGATAGTTTGACAGATAAAATTAATCTACGCACATTAAAATCCAGAAACGATCATGGTAGTTTGGACCATCTTTGGTGCAATATTAAGTCGAGACAACGGTGCACTAATCAGAACAACTTTGACCAATGCATGTATGACCATTGCCCTCTCACCTGAGGACGTCCGAGGGCTTTGTTTTCCAATATCGTTATCACTGAAGGATAGCTCACAGCCTGAGATCATTATGTTAGTAATCAAAAGGTTCAGAAATCTGTTCGGGTTCAGTGACAATAAGTTGATCAGTATCACTATCATAAAATACTGACTTCTATGCCTTAATTAAGTTCCGTATGCCAGTGGCTCCCATATCGCGTACTAATTGCTGATGCTGTGACTAGATTAACAAAGTAGAGGTAGTTAATTTATGACATAGCACCGCGGTATGAAAGCTGTCTAGAACTGAGGGTTCCTATCCATCACAGCTTCACAGTCAGGGTCCTAGAGAAGGTAGAGTTTGGTGTCTTGATATGTTACTAAATATAGTTCAGTAAACCTCCCAGTGGTGATCTTTCTGTAGTGTTTTTAACATTCTTCATAAAAAAAGATAATCTCCATATTAATTGTATTCTTCACAGAACTGTATCTCATATTAAACGTTATTATTGTCATTGTCCACTAATTATTATTTCATTTTTTGATCCTGATTTCCTTCCCTCATTTAGTTCTTCACAATATTATTACTTTACTTTCATGAAACATGCATTTTCGGTGTCCAACTGTAACAAAACTAACGTGCATTAAATAATAATTAAATCTCAAGCTAGTGATCAAAAGGCTTATTTGATAGCAGATGAGTCTTCACTGCACCATGTGACCAAAGTAGGTTAATGTTCCGTTCGTTAAGACTTCTAGATACCATGAGAATCATGAATGTGGTATACGGCATATTCAAAAGGGATACTCTACAGCAAGTAATGTCTCTTTCTAAACATCAGGGGATTACTATCAAACTCGTACTTCTTGAAAACAACCCTGCCATCCAAAAGTCGACTGCATGAAAACTTCTCTATAGAAAGAAATGAGTTTTCTATTCTCTGTTGTGCTGACATTTGGATGGCGATAAAATTAGTACTACCATCTTGAAACACTATCTTAACAAACTAAATATATTTAGGGATTTTGTAGCACCACTAAACCTATATACTGTAAACTATAGGTTGCTTATTAATAAATTAATATATTTGTAATATTATTCAAAATTATCAAGTCAAACCTTGGTAATGATACCTATAGGTTGCTTAGCTTAATATAAACTTGTATAGGGTTTGACACTAATCGCAACTACAGAAGTGTACACATATTTTGTGAGCGTAATTGCTACTATACACTATCCAAAAATGTGTTTATTCTTCCGTTATTGATCTTCACGGCAAAATCTAATCCATCTTTGAATATCAACAAGGAGAAAACAAACTTTATCAGTTATATATATCGCACTCGTTAAACAAGTTGGGAGTAATTTGGACTCTATGGCTTGGTAAATGTGTTGGTATATAGGGTGATAGGTTTCAGTCACAACATGAACACCAACAGAGATTTAAGTGCAATCAGATGAGCTCCTAAATAATGGGAAACGCGTGTCTTGAATTCACTTCTGGTCACAAACCAAAAATATAGTAGTCGCTACCACGATATTATCTGAATACATATTGCTAACTTACGTTCAGGACTTTTTTCCAAAGTAGTATCCAGGCACGATGCATCTATACGATCATGTGAGGACAACACCTCAATTTCAGAAATAGAATTTCTTAGACCAGTGGTATCGGAGGTAATCCCCTCCCCTGTGGGAATAGTGGGAGTAGTTCCAAGAGGTAAACAGAAGTAAACCAAACGATTTACAACATCTTCAGCAGTTTCTGACAAAAATTTATAATCGGACAGTGGTAGTGTAGGACAAGCAGGAAGTCGAACTAATACCCGTTGAGGTAGCAACATACGAGGAACTTAAGGAAAAAAAGAGTGGAAATAGACACTTATGAGTGTAAATATACACTAAGGAATATGTAATCAAAAGACAAATTATCGAAACATTTATAAATAAACAGAAATCCGAATCTACGCAGTAAGTCCAAAGAGAGATAAACAAGTAATATATCTTATATAAATTTTGATAGACAGAATTTAATAAATTAACATGAATATGAAAATCCGGTCTAATAGAGTCTATAAAAATAAATTATAAGATTAAAAACTGATTTATTCAGCTGGGCGAAAGTCAAATCACACGTTCATATTTATATACACTGATTTAGATCAAGTATTAATCCCATTATTACGCTTTCCAACAACTTGATCTCCTTTCCCAGTTTACTTAAGTTGACTAGACATTGCAAGTCAACTATTTAGCTGAGTTACAAAATATTAGCTACGTGATGAAAAATTCATATTAGTACATATGTTATAAAGGGATTTCTGTACTTGCAATGTTATTCAACTGCTTCAATACATGTCACGTTAAATAAAAGTAGAGGTTATTTGACATCTGAAAATGTAATCAACCACTTACGGCACATTAACTCTTCTTGATCTACAAGATATCTAACCACAGATTAAAATTACATTAAAAACTTCAGTATTGTGCATGCCTCAAAGGGTGTTAAGTGTATGAGACGATACAGATATATAATGCTATTGAATGTATTTTTTTAGTGAATGAAAAACAAAATAAGACAGCTTTATTTTTCTACCAGCTTATCAGAATTCTCATGATGAACAATAATATCTATCAAAATTAGTTACTTAGAGCAACGAATAAGATAAATGAATAAATATGTGAATTTATTTTCACACTGAAAACACTGAAAAATAGATACTTAAGATCAGATGATAGCTTACCTTCCAGTTCAGCACTGGTAATGTGTAACTCTTCTGTTAAAAGTTGTAGTCGTGCTAGTATACTCCGTACAAGATCATTCCGTAATGCCTAAAAATTATCAACAACGTAGATTAAATGATTGTTAACAAATATCATCAAAATGTTACTTATTAGTAAAACTATTCGCATAGTGTTAAGATAAAAATGAAAAACTTTACAAGTTATAAAATATTACAGAAAGTTGATACAAAAATATACCCCCAATTTATCCATCAAGTAATAATTGCCAGTGTTTAACAAGTAACCTTAATTATTATTTCAAAAATTTGGATTAGAACGATAAAATACTGCGAGCACCATAACAGTAAAACGAGTCAACATATTAGCCCAATTAAGTTACATTTTTTTAATACTTTCCCTAGATTTGAGCACTTAAACAAAATATCTCAGGTTTTTGAAATTTTAATTCAATCTTTACTTCACTTTAATAATCAAGTACAAAATCATGTATTCAGCTCTGAATAATATTGTTTTACGAGTGAAAGTAAATGATGCAACCCAAATACCTAGCCGAAATAGGTGGAATAGAATTTTAACATGGGTAGGAACTAATTGTCAAAAGCTTTAACCACTTAGCTACTATTTTAATATCTGCATACATATTTCGATATTAGGGGGCAATAAATAATCGACATAAACTATTAGACGTAGGTTTTGTATTGATCGAACTTTCAGTCTCCCGTGAACTGATACTTTCTGTATCTTTCTATGTCACAATAAACGATATTATTATTGAACCATTTAGGTCATCTCTAACACAATGTTGTAAATAAAAATCCTCAGAAAATAAGATATACTTTTTCTTAACTCACTAACGTTTACAGTATGCAAAAGTTATCTTGTATTAACTGACTTAACCTGCATTATGCTACACTGAGAAATTCATTTCGATATCCTGATTTTAAAGAGTAATTCACTGTTTTTTCTTTTTCTTTATACAATGGACTTACGTTTCTTAGAATTTAAATGAGCTACAAAATATGTAATTAATCCGTTAGTTGTTTTTAACGAATTTTCGTTAGTTGTCTAATATAGATACCAGTGAGTATAACTTACGATTGGTTCAAGGTGCTATACCATTTGTATTATTTAATATTAGGTAAAAAATTTTAAAACAAGAAACAGAAAATATGAAATGCACTCTGAAATCGCTGAATTTCTGAATAAAAATTTTTTGCTAGCGATTACTTTCCTGCATAAAAGGAACAAGTTTAAAGTGTAAGCAAAATGATATCCAAAAGAAATTAAATTAACCTTTCTAAATAAATACTTGTAAAGTATATATTTTACGATAAAGGTTTAGTATTTAAAAAATGAATTAGGAAATATTAAGAATATATACATAAGAGATTAGCTAACCTCGAGTAAGTCTCCAACACTTGAATTAGCTGGTAAAAACGCAATTCCAGGAATTCGTCCATTGATTAACAAGCGATTAATAGGAACGAAACTACCTGAAGAATCATTAGTATCATTTCCATTATTCATATTTGTATCCGAACTAGCACCAGATTCAAGTGACGATGACGAACTTGCACGCTGCCATTGAGGAAACTGCAAAGTGGAATCGAAGTGAAGAATTCAAAGGTTAATGTACCAATAAAAAGAAACCCAATTCAATACTAGTCAGTAATTTCCTATAATTCATCTATTAAGATAGTGTGAAAATTGAATTTTATTGAAATTTTTTGAACCGATTTGAGAAAACCGATACACTGGCGTATCAGTCATAAGAGTATGTGAGCGTAATTAGAATCCCTTCTACCTGTAATAGAGAATTTGCGTGAGACGGTTTAGAAATAGCTGAAATGGCACAGATACATTCATTCTGCCTGAGTTTTAAAGTTATTATAGAATTTATTTCATGAATTCATTCCTCACAAGTTATATCGTTTATGCCTAAAATTTTTATACTACCGATACTGCTATTATTTCTAATGCTCTGATTCGTCTTGATAATTTCATCTCGCTATGTTAATATTTTACTACAGCTAGGACCAATACATATTTATTTATTTATTTAGACACATAAACATTGGTAAAAGGAGGCACCAAATATACATGCGCCACACAAATAATTTGATTTGTATGAGGGCTGGAATACTGCCCGCGTGTCTAAACCGAAGCAGAGGGATTTTAAGAAGACCACGCTCTGGGGCTTTCACCTAACTTACAGGATACTGGAGAAACGTTAGGAGATATAGTCCCATGGTAGCTAGTGATCAACAAAAGGTTCATACGCCTTTTGTTCCCTTATGACCCTGAAGCCCATGTGCAGCATTGGTTTGGAATCAGGGTTTTCCAACTCTGCTAGGTGGATCCTCCATATCCACCAACCGGGTTAAAGCGCCGGACATTCACTCTTCGTTTTCAATTTCGTGAACAACACCCCCCGCCACGATAAGGCAGTGAGTAGGACTTCCCTGACAGTAGCTGTATATGCGTGGCCATATGAGGACATTTTGAGACAGAGAACTGACTCTCCCCACCCTCGGACGTACCAGGGCATTTGGGGGCATTCATACATACACGTGCATATGGCTGATAACTAAATAATATCACATTCGGATCGCCTTAAAAAACTTTAGGCTATTAAGCACAATAGCTTAGTCTCAAGGCCCACTGAATGTGAAGTCAAGTCTACACTTGACAATAAACAATAAATGCTAAACTATTGTCAACCAATGCTGGGGATCATTGTTGAATAGGCGACTGAATTCCAATCATATCAAGACTCAAAGACAGTATTTTGGAGTTATAAAAAACTAATAAATATGAAAGATTTATGGAAATTACTTTTACAGTCGGTGATAATTCAGCGTAATCACATCTAATATGTGAAAGTAAACGGTACTTCTTACCTGTTGAAAACTGAAAAGTGGAACGGATTTATTAAATATCAATCTACTGCCGTAATTTAAATTACTTTATTACTCAACCACAATTATAAAGTCGTGTAAATCCCCAACAGGTCAAACAAAACAGAATTGGAAACGAAAATAACGACTTTTACATTGAGAAGTTAGAACATTTGAACGACATCGAGAAACAATTGAAATAGATTTCAGATGCCTGAATTTACGTTGAATATGGATATTTATAACACCCCTAAAATTCATACATGAGTAATAAGGGGAGGAAGTATGGGTGGTGAGAGTTTGCAGCAACGTTTGTATATATGGAAATTACTGAATGGACAACTATGAAGTAGATTATACGGTTCATTACATTGGCTTGCGTGATTAGGTAGTTAGATATATTGTGGTTCTTAGTGTGTTGTATACATCTATTGTTACTTGCTTAAATTCATGTTGTTCAATAAATAAGCTTGATGATTAAAATCCTAGAAATCAGGAAAATGCGCTAGTGCTCAAAATATGAGCAATCTGCTAATATACTACCATGTTTCATTTACCTTCAGCTTGATACTTTGGTATTAATCTAACCAATCAAGAAACACAGCACGTCAAACAAATAATTATAAATGATGAATCATTCATGATAAAAGAACAAGCTAAACTACTAAGTCGTTTCCCAGAAATGATAAGCTTGATATTACAGAGTAAAACTAACAGAGAAAACTAACTTTAATCTTTGGCATCCATTCTGGAACCATGTCTCTAACTTATTTCCTATGCTAGATTTACGAGCGTATTTAGGTACATAGCTTAGTCAACCACATCAGCCACAAAACCGGACTAGAAAAACTTATTTAAATCCAATAGAGCGATAATTACACTTCATATTTGTTGTGTGCCAAAATTTAATCTTACCACTGTGAGGGCCCTAATGTTTTGTCCTAATATTTCAGAAAGACAATATGAAACAGAATTATACAGAAATAACAGTAGACATCAGTGGTCTTGATTGCTGTTAGAGGTATGAGGGTGGTTTTCACTTCCACAACGTGGAAGGGTTCTTCTGGAGGTACCTGAAACGGAAATTGGATTAGAGGTGGTCTTAGTGAGCTGAGAGTGACCGCAGTGCCCAAGGGAAAACTGCTTGAGGTCAGTCACACACGACCTTTTTGTAGGTAATTTTCGTGTTAGCTCCGTACTTGTTGAGACCTTACCTCCGGAAACGGAAATCCATGGAATAAGGTGAGGTGTGCATTTTTATGGTCGGCCTTTTCTAACCCCACCCCTCCTTGTGAGAAGGCAGCATCGCTGTTATGCTGGTTGTCTGAAGGGAACACCTTACTGTCGTCACACCTCTGTACAGTCAGCCGTACGACTTTGCCCTCAAACCTTGGGTTTGCTGCTATTAGTCTTACCGCTCTTCAACCGACCTGTCTGGCATGGTAGGACCTTGAGGAACGATTGTTCCAGCCAGTATAGCTCGACTGGTTCATCACGATAGGCAAACCCAATCACCACGTCAATGTAGCAACAACGGTCGAGAACAGTAGACATACTTGGAGAATAGTGCTCGTTTTCGCTGCCATGATATCGGTATAACAAAACTTTACTGGCTTAATATCTTTGTACAGTAATTCTTTTAAATCCAGGTACTATCATATAATTATTGAGTCATAAGACGCTTTAAGGTCATGCAGTCGTTAGTATGGGGTAATATTCTTGATATATTGAACAAATAGGCATGGTAAAAAGCTTTGACCAACACCTGCGGCAAGTCATTCACCAAGTGCAAATGCATGTGCTTCACATGTGAGAACTAGTGAAACTGTCTGGTTGCCCAAACCGAAACAGATGGAGGGGGTTGAACCTGTCACGCAGTGCTTGAAAGTTGAATGTATTAATCACTAGGTCACAGCTTCATTGATTAATATCACTCAAAGTATCCATTTTAGACAATTCATTGTAAACGCTCTTCAATTCAAGCATTTCTCTCACTAACGAAAGCTCCCACAATGGATCCTCCCTTCCGAGCAAAGAATACGTATGAAACCTAGCCCGAATAACCATGCTTCTATGCCAAGACCGGCTGATAAGTAATAATCCAACCAATTTACAACTTGGTTTCTATAACACGCCCCATGTGAAAGTCCATTACAGTAGGGGCTTAGTGTTTAGCCTTAATCAATGAATCAAAATGTCTCAGTTGAAGATTCATTGCATTTATGTTGTTTTAGCTGCATGGTAACTCATTTCTTACTAAAAGCTGATTCACAATGCTCTAGTATGTGGTGAAAAAGTTTCTAAACACAGGCTATTGTCAGATATATGAAGCGGTATGAAAGTCACTAACCTGTGGTCCGAAAATTACTATATCAAGTGGGGTGAAGGCTGGACTAACGGACCCCTTGGCAATTGCATATTTCTTACTCCCCGCCGAAGTAACTAAGGAGTGATCTACATTAAGAGGCAAATCATAACGCTTTGACTTGGATGATTTTTTGTTCTTTTTGGTTTGGATGTCAGCATCAAGGGGTACAGAAAAATCTATATCTTTTAGTAATTTTTCATCAGCTTGATGTAATTCTCCATTGATGAGCAACTGTGTTTCCGTAACCAAGGATTGAAGGTAAGGTTCGACAGCAGCCTGAAAATTTAACGGAAATTTTGACCACTTGAAAGAGATGGTGAAATGGCAGGTTACTTTGATTGTACTTGCTTTATATACATTATACATTTAAAAAGTACGAAAATACTAGTATTACTAGTAATTTTACACTTCCTGAATGAATTAACAAGCACTTTTATTTACAGAAATCTGTCAACAAAAGTGAACAAACAAGTATATTACGCACTTTTGAATTTACCGTAAATGGTTCTGTTAGCGGGACATAGACTAGATTAAAGCATGCTCAATGCATGAATGCTTTGGTGCACGCTGATTGGCTAATTCTTATCCAATCAGCACTAGTCGATAGTTGGAGAATACTCTGGAATCTTCTTATGTAAAAACTATAAATATACTGACGTTTTCCCTATTGTGCTTCTGACTTGCATCTTGCCTCCATCTAACCTCGTTATTTAGAATATAATCTCTTTCCTGTTCAACCGTGTTCTGATTTGGGGTCTTGTCGAGTGAATCGGTGTCCAAGAAATACTAAGCAATAGGAATAGCTGGGTCATAACCGTAAGAAAACAGAGTTATAACAGGTTCACATTTACAACAACAATAATACAGTCTACTTATCACACATTCGCACTTTGCTGAGGTGCATATCCATTACAGAAAATATAGTAGAGGGACTTTGCTCTCCTAGTTAAACAGACGTTAACAGAATAGAAACTGGTACAAGTATACGTCAGTTTGACTTCTCGATCTCATAATCGTAACAGAAGAAAAAGTGAATGACCAAAAGCAATGGCAACTGAAGTAGTGGAGAACTAGAACGAATATACGGCAGAACTAATTAGACGCAAGGAGTTAAAGGTTCTAGACTCACGAGAAAATAAAACACCGCTCTATTTACACAATTGAATCTGTTATTACGCTACCTTAACCTATCGCCAACCATTCAATACGATCAACATCTACGAAACACTCAATAAATCAGAGTAAGAGACTGATTACTGGGAACTTGACCGGTGTTGATCGGAGGATATCATAAAATAAAAAGTGGGAAACAGACAAACAATTATGTGATTAGTGAAAAGAGTAAGCTTTGTATGAATGTATGGATACGATACTCAGCACGGAAATGGTCTTGTTTGGTGCACTTTAATAGCGATGTTTACTATGAGACCGCCTTTAGATGAATGGCTAGAATGACAGTTGGAGATGGATAAATAAGACATTAATATAGAATCCGATGATAAGGGTACTATCAGAAAACTAACGGTTAGAACTAAAGTCGGAATAGTTTTCCTAGGTTCAATAACTACGGAAGACAAGATCTCGAAACTTACACTAATCAGCTTGGTTCTTCTATTTTTATAGGACATTTTGTCATAAGCTGAGATGATTGACAATCTAAATCAGTTACGCTCAAGTCGAATTCCAAAATTCTAGCTTATTCAAAAGGTCAACTAACAATTAGTCAGTTACATGCAACGCGAAATCTGGCACATGACTAAGGATGGTTAGTAATTACCACTAAACACCTTGGAGCTAATTTATCGCAACCCAACTAATTTTCACTTGAGATTGATTAAAAACTCAACAATGATTGGAAGCTTGGTGATGACCTTTATTTCTGACTGCTGGCGAAGACAATGTAGTTGAAAATAAGATATAGACTAGTTGAACTGCTTCTTAACATACTTCGCACACCACGCTAGACGCAGTGGCAGTGGCCTAATACAAATCATGGAAGACATGGATGTTTACTTATCTACCCCATTCACGGCCATCGATATTCTTGAACCACTATGTGATGAAAACAATCGACGGTTTCTCCTTGGTTTTTGATTTTTAAAAAGTTGCTATAGATGACGTTACACACTGTGTTATGTTTCAAAACCAGCCACTTGTCTTACCGTTTATGGAGCAAACTTGTAGACTACACAATAATGCTGTGGTGACAAATGTAAACCAATATTAAGTTCATCGGATATACATATACTTAAAAGTTAAATATATGAAAGAGTGAATGAGGGTATAACAGTAGTAAACCTTAATCAGAAGTCCAACTACACACTTGAGCATACCTAGGTTAAAAATAATTATGAATACCTGAAGCTGATACAAGATTTTCTCTTTTTTCCGATCAGATGGTAAGTGAGTCTCCAAAGACAGTAGTATATGTGTTTTGAATGATACCCACCGATCAATGAATGGGCGAATCTTTACTTCCACTGTTCGAAATTGACTCTAATGAATAGAATAATATCATATAAAACATACATTAGATCCATCTGCAGCAGAAGCTTTGCATTGAAATCTTAAGGAAAAATATAAATTGCAAACGAACATACTTTTTTGTTTTGGGGTCAGCCACCAACACTAATTTTTCTGTACTTTTTGAACAAATAAACCTGTTCATGGATGTGTCATCCCGCGATATATGAGAGAGGATCTGACAGTTAGTTAAGAGCTCATTACTTTCTGAATGTGATTAGTATGACTGTTGAATTCGCCATAAGGGACAGTCAGACAAATCCCACTTATATGAACACCCCCTGGAATCATCCGCGCAAGATTTCTACAATATGACGCAATCCATTTTTCGCTTAAATCCTCAATCATACGAGGCGAAACAGATCGATGGGGTGGGTCGTCTGAAGTGTCATCTTTTGGAATGTCAATGGGTAAGAACAAGCACTCCTGGGAACCGAACCGCTACTAAATGAGGAATAAATAAAACGAACTCACTCCGCCTATCATTACTCCACAATGGAACTCATCTACAGAGAGCAAACGATCTGCAAAACTATTATCAAACAAAACTTCTGAGATCATCCTTAGTGTCTTATCAACTTGTAAATGGCGGGCTGAGCTCCAGCACCAGAAGACAGAGTAAGCTAACTACATTATTGTCTGTCTGCATCCAAGTGTAGTAAATTTTTAAAGTAGCTGTTGATAAAATAATGGTAGTATCCGGACAATTATCTTCCCTTCCTGATAATCATGAACCAACGGTTTTGTTATATAGGTACCTAGGTAAAAGAAAGAACATTGGAGTTGAGGTTATTCAGCACTATATTACACTTCGGATAGATAAGGATTTATAATGTCCATGTCTTCAATACTTTGGTTATGTGTGAGTGTGACAGTCCCCAAACAATGGGTTGTGGAGATAATTAACATGAACCTATTTTGTTTTTTTATAATTCGCACTTTTTATAGTTTCATATGGTTTATAAATTTGTTATTATTGACTGTAAAATGTTTGTTCGCATTTGATACTGATCATACGTCATTGTTTCGTTCTCTGACAGCGTGACACTGATTTTCATTCATAAATATACTGCTGCACACACACTTCTCGTTCTCAGCTGACGCGATAACAAACCTCTAATATAGTTTCTATTTACGTCCACATTGTGTGATTGTACCGGATACATATTAACTTGCATTATACCTACCATATTTGTAGTTACTGACTCCCTATAACTGTGGATTACGGGATCAAAACTTGAGTACACTGGCTACTGATAGTTTATGCAACTCCCCATATCTTCTGTGATTTATTTGTGCATATAATCAACTGCCTTTATGCTTTTTGTAGTAACTCTATCATCTCTGCCCGTTCCTCTTCTAGGGTTTCCGTCTCTCCCAAGCCCGGATAAAGAATGAGGGCTGGGCGTGGGGTCAGTAATCCCACCTCGTAGAAAAAAACATTGCAGACCAACCCTAACTAAAGAACAATTTGAACCACTCAAACTCTACTCTTTGAATCGAAGGATCTTTATTCAGAAGAATTATGACTTTTCATGGTGAAAGCCGAGCTACTTCGGAAGTCACAAGGCGGTTGCCCATTCTAACAACCAGAACATCAAAACCCTAGGTATGTGGAATAGACAGTACTCTATATAAAGATATCACGGAACGACATGGACTGAATGAAAGAAAGGTACGAGAATGGCGGGAGATTTGCAGACACATTAATAGAACTAAATGTGTCTCACGGGATCACACTACAGAGAATCAGATAGATCACATCTGTATCACGAAAAATCCAGAGGGGCAGTGGTGGTCGTTAACATGAATCCAAAGCTAAAGAAGCATTAAACAACTGGACAAACAGCGCTGCAAATGCTCAATACAGATTTCCTTTGAGTTACTGACAAACACGCTTCTCTGAGTTCGCGTTTTTATACTCAAAAATAACCGTTATGGACTATATCTAGAATCCCTGACCAATTATTTTTCATATGATCGTCTAGTTTTACTTTACGGGCATTCCTAATCTTACAGTAACTGGATCTGTATTGTTCTAAGCCAGTAGAGATGAACATATCCCAGTGATTCTTCCTTCTTCTAAGAAGTTTCCTGACTGGTTAAGTTATTCATGGTGGACTGTTATTCGGTCTTCGCGATACCAGGTATCGTATGAACGAGGATGTAACTAAACTAAACTTACCTTTAAATAGAGATCATGCTTCTTTAATTGATAAGCTAGTATCTACTGATCAATCTGTCTTAGTTCTCCACACATTTGGGCGAGGTGTAACCTGATCGTATAACATGTCCCTAGTTCGAAACGTGAATGACAAAACAGCATGATCGCTGTTCGCTAACGGCGGGAGAATATGTAAGTCGAAAATATCCTCAGTCTCATGAGTGATTACCAAATCCAGAAGAGAAGAACCCTGGTTAACACCAAAACGTGTGGGTTTGGATACATGCTGTACTAGTGCATGCTCCATTATTGTCATCAGGAACTTACTATCAAAGGAGTTTATAGATCCTTCTGTGGTCATATCAGTTCAGCTAATATCAGGTGCGTTAAGGTCTCCTATTGTCAAACATCTGGTATTTTCACTCCAAAGATGAATGTGCTCTAAAACAAAGTCATCAGCTAGGCAGATGAGGCTGTGATAGATGACACCTAGCATAAATGTATCACATCCGATAGCCAGCTCACAGCTAATGACTTAACAAGTCCCACTATCATGGGGTTCGCAAATAGAGGAGCGGATATTTATATTATTAGCTATGTATGAAAGGACGTGACCTCCTTTCCAACATATATGTCTATTACTCCTTAGGTAGTGGTATCCGGACAATTGTGGAGTAATGTCGAAGTCATGGACTAACCAAGTTTCTGTCACTGCTACAACGAGTGGCATTAACTTGTCCATTAATTCATCTAGTTCATAGAATTTATTTCGTAGACTACGAGAGCTGGCATATAAAACTTCTAGGGAGAGCGACCTATCCACACAGGCGTTGGTAGCATTCGCTTCCAAGACCTGACTATCCCAAAACCCTCTAACCGGAAATTTTCCTCGCCGTTTTGTCGACGGATTTCTAGTCCAGCTAGTGCCATCTTTCATTTTATTCTCTCTCAAAGAAACATATCAAATCTTACTCGGGTGTCGGTATTGTCGTGAGTACGAGAGCTGCTTAACAGAAGATCACGTTGCTTCTTCGGCCCTAGGATTACCTTGATGAATCTACATGTCCGGGGTTCAACACTGTCTTCGGTCTCCTTACCTATTCTAACCAATTTTATGATCTGAAATCCATTAGAATTATCTAGTAAGACGCTATGAATATATTTTCCGAGCTTCTCTAAGTCATGCGCGTGTCTAATTTGGGGATCAGGATCGTTTGATTCCAGCAATTTATTCACGATAATATTCGACGAGATTAAATTCTTCTCATTCACACCAGGGTGGAATTCTCCCTTAATATAAGACTATGGTGAATCAGAATGCGAGTTCACTAATGACTTTCAAACTAACTGTATACTGCCTACAGCTTTTTTGTTTTCATTTCGTTTTCTCCGTACTGCAATCCATTTTCATGACTCAGGACAGCCACACAGGGGCTATTTTGAACGGTGACAGTATTACCTGGGTCTTCAAGTTCCACTAGAGATGCATGATAATCAATGTAAATATCAAGTGGCACTTCACTCCTTGTTAATTTAATGTAGTTTTAACTTTTCCGTCAATCAAAGTCGGGTGTTTTATGCGTCCCGTAACATCACATAATGCACTGACACGTTCTTCACTGTTAGTACTCGCGTTGAAAAGAGCAACCACTACCGTCCTTCTTACAGGCCAAAGCTAATAGGCTCATAGCCTCCTGGATTAGCGATGCCTTATTTGTACAATAAAACACGCAAAGTCAATGCGCATTAGGCTTCGAACATCCTTTGTTCGCGGTGGGAATTAAACGGGTACACATTTTATGGAACCACATTTTACACTCATCGCACTGCATTCCTTCCTCTAGGAAGGAACAAACAGTTTGGTTGTCCACATTCATAAGTACTTCCAAGCATTGTAATCAGACTAAGAAGGTTTGAAACACAATATGATCACAATATGAGCACAAGTGTCAGCCAATTAGTAAGACAAAGTTTAGATAGATTTCAAACCTTAACCAAATACTTCAAGTTAAAGTAGACCAAGAATGCTTTTGGATGCAACAAGTACACAAAAGCAAGGGTGATCACAGCAAGTAAAAAGGCTGCAATTAGACGCAACTCGACTTCGTGAACGTGGCTGTCTGCTTAGTGACCAGTCAGAATGAGGAGGGAATCATTACATCCGCCATCTTTGTAGGCAACGGGGGTTTGGCTTTCCTTGTTCTGTGTTTTTTCAGCTATTTCTTTCGTGTAACTACATAATTTAGTGTTTCAGTGTGCCAAAATGCCACAGTTATTGTATTATTCTAAACGTTGGCTCAAATTTTCTTAGATTCAGCATTGTTTTCGGAGTTTCTGCTACTGCTACTCAAGTTGATGTACTTCTTCAGGCCAACTGGATAATGTTGATCTGTTCTGTTTTTAGTATTTTTTTAGATATGGAGAACGGAAGTTAGTCTTTTCTTTTTAGCTAAAATAGGTTTTGCTGCCGCATGGGACTCTAACTGACTAGTTAATTAATAAAAAAATACGTTTTAAAATGACGAATTCTGTGATCACATGAATGTTGACATGGTCATTATTATGCTGGGCGATACATTAGGTTTACATAGAAACGTTCATGCAGACTCTTTAAGGTAATCCTAGGATCGGAGAAGCAACGGGATCTCTTGTTAAGTAGCGCTCGTTGTCACGACAATTCTGACATCCGAGTTAGACCTGACATATCTCTCGAAGATAGAATAAAAATGAAGAAAGCACTAGCTGAGCTTGAAACCCGTCGGCAAAACGGCGAAGAAAATCTCCGGCTAGTGGGTTTTCGGATAGTCAGGTCTTGGAAGCGAATGCTACCAACGCCTGTGTGGATAGGTCGCTCTCCCTAGAAGTTTTATATGCCAGCTCTCGTAGTCTACGAAATAAATTCTATGAACTAGATGAATTAATGGACAAGTTAATGCCACTCGTTGTAGCAGTGACAGAAACTTGGTTAGTCGATGACTTAGACATTACTCCAGAATTATCCGGATATCATTGCATCAGGAGTGATAGACATAGATGTAGAAAGGGAGGCGGCGTCCTGTTATACATAGCCAATAGCATAAATATCCGCTCCTCTATTAGCGAATCCCATGATAGCGGCACTTGTGAAGTCATTAGCTGTAAGTTGGCCATAGGATGTGATACATTTATACTAGGTGTCATCTATCACAGCCTCATCTGCCTAGCTGATGACTTTGTTTTAGAGCACATTCATCTTTGGAGTGAAAATACCAGATGTTTGACAATAGGAGACTTTAACGCACCTGATATTAGCTGAACTGATATGACCACAGAAGGATCTATAAACTCCTTTGATAGTAAGTTCCTGATGACAATAATGGAGCATGCACTAGTACAGCATGTATCCAAACCCACACGTTTTGGTGTTAACCAGGGTTCTTCTCTTCTGGATTTGGTAAT